AAAATCAACAAATATGCTGCCCTCAGAAACCCTAATATAAACTACACTACTGCAACCTGCAGAAAGGAATACAAGAAAATCATCAAATCAATGTAGATAATAGGATATCCAAAATCAACATTTCTATGCAATTGCAAGTACGAAGAAAGCTTCATATGTCGAAGTATGCTTGCTAAAGCTTCATATTGTCCAATCTGATAATGCGCACTTACAAAGACCATATATTAATTACCTAGAACAATAAAAGTATATATGGAACATGCAAAAAAAAGGGGCTTTCAGTAACTTAGGGCCCGTGAGGGCTTAGCATAATACATAGCTGCTGGAAGGAGAGCCGCGTAAATGGCTGTATAATGACTGAATTTGGCTCTCTGGATTTCTTAAAACATTGCTTATTGGTTTCTGGGTGAGTCCTACCATCCAAAGCCAAAACCCACAGCATGAAAACCCTCCAAACGGGCACTATATGACAATATTAAAGTGTTGCAGGTATAGCAAAGCTGCTGTATTAAAAGAAAGGGAGTTAAATACTAATATGTTTTTTAGTCAACATTTCAAGGTTCAAGAAAACATATGGCCTGTAATCTTGGCTGTTAAACATGGGGAGGAATGCAAAATCCAGTTTTCCTGTCAGAAATCCATAATATCATACAAGTAATGCCCTAGAAAGCATAAAGTAAATAATAATTATTACTCTTCAAGTTGTTGAAAGATATTTTACCTCTATCCAGACTATGTTCGCCATTGAAATTGTAATTCAAACATTTTTATTAGCCTGCAGACAGGTAGCACAAATATGTCAACTAAGATTTGTGAACTGTACATGATTGTCACATTAATAACACACTGGCTGAGTCAAATTTAGCACAAATATGTCAAATAAGTCATGTTCATTTTAGCAGTGCACTGAGTCAGCATCCTCTGCAGGATCCTCTTCTGTTGGAAACCACAAGCTATCTTCATATGGATACTCATTTTGAGGTGATTTAGTACTTATATATCGAGTACTTTCCTTTCCTCCACAAGTAACAAATCTATTAAAGCAACATGACAAAAGTGTGTTACCTTTTCATCAATTGGGGAAAAAATGTCCTTGACTGCCCCAAAAACCTCTTCTCTAGGCTTTCCGGCATCAATCTGCGCAATGAGGTAATGGGTAAGCTGTAACCTGCTTCTGGAAATCCTCTGGACTATGAAGTATCAAGGAGGAAACATGAGCCATATGGATACTCATTTTGAGGTGATTTAGTACTTATATATCGAGTACTTTCCTTTCCTCCACAAGTAACAAATCTATTAAAGCAACATGACAAAAGTGTGTTACCTTTTCATCAATTGGGGAAAAAATGTCCTTGACTGCCCCAAAAACCTCTTCTCTAGGCTTTCCGGCATCAATCTGCGCAATGAGGTAATGGGTAAGCTGTAACCTGCTTCTGGAAATCCTCTGGACTATGAAGTATCAAGGAGGAAACATGAGCCATATGGATACTCATTTTGAGGTGATTTAGTACTTATATATCGAGTACTTTCCTTTCCTCCACAAGTAACAAATCTATTAAAGCAACATGACAAAAGTGTGTTACCTTTTCATCAATTGGGGAAAAAATGTCCTTGACTGCCCCAAAAACCTCTTCTCTAGGCTTTCCGGCATCAATCTGCACAATGAGGTAATGGGTAAGCTGTAACCTGCTTCTGGAAATCCTCTGGACTATGAAGTATCAAGGAGGAAACATGAGCAAGAGATTACCTTCTGAACCTTCCCCATTGACTCATAATGCTCAACCACAGGGAGACTGGATTCTACAAAAACCTTGAACCGCTTTCGGATTGTGTCAATGTTGTCATCTTCCCTTCCCTTCATTTACCCCATTGGAATAATGTTAAATAAAACAATACTTCAAATGCTTAAAACAAATAGAGGGTGCCATGATTAAAAAAATTCTTTAGAAGGGCTGCTTGTTCTAACCTGGTTCCTATTTAAAAGACGTCTCTCCATCTCCTCTTCTGCACAATCAAAAAATAGTACAAATTCTGGAATAATTTTTGTCTGCAAAATAATCTAGGATTAGTCACAAAAAACAGAACACGGAGGTATCCCAAACTCATTATTTTTTAAGAATATCAGTTAGGAGAATTTCCATCTGGAAACTCCAAGCTAACGTAAGTAAGATGAGTTACTAAAACAGTGAACTTACAACATTCTCAAATGCAGCACGGTTCTCTTCATTACGTGGAAATCCATCAATGAGGAATTTGTCATTATTGCTTTCCTGCATTGCTCGCTGGAGAAGCTTAACTGTAACCTCTGAAGGGACAATCTTTCCCTCCTTTATCATGTTTTGTATCATTGTACTGTCACAGAGAAAACAACATGCAGACACCAAAACTTTCTAAGTGTCAGTTGACACATGGAAAGAAATAGAAAAGCAGCAATCAGGTTAAAGCGTTGATTAAAATGAAATAAAATGCCTTCTGCAATTGAAGAAATGGTGGAACAGAGTGAGGAACATCAATTAATGTGATGTAGGTAGAAATCTAAGTAGGTGATCTTAGCCATCTAATGACACAATCCTTTGAATTGCCAGATGCCAGGTGGAGGGCAACTGTATATGTTCAGAAAGAATATTCTATAAATCAGATTGTTTGCACCTCCACTGAGGTTAATTGCTTGACTAGGAAACCTCCTGTGTGGGCCAAAAAGGATGGGTCTAAACTCACAGTGCCAGTTGCAATGGGGGATAGGTTTGGATATTGGGTGGGAAAAACATTCTTGATTAATAATTGCAATCTTACCCATTTTCAGAACCAGATTTAATTTCAGCTCGAAGAAGATCACCAGCACTGAGATGGGTGTACCCAAAGTGTTCAACTATATTGGCACACTGAGTGCCCTTTCCACTGCCTGGACCACCTGTTCAGTTATTTAACCACAACCACATAATGGCTCAGAAATCTCCAATAACTTAAGTGAAATTGGTTAATATAAGCAAGACAAGGCAGACCAGAACAAACAAGTTGTCAATATGAAGAAAAGTAATGTAAATTTGGAAGTAAAAACAGAAGACCCAAAACAAAACAAGGGCAAGGTCAAAATTCTACATTTTAAGGGTAACAATTGGGACTGCAAAATTATTTCTTCATTTCCCCATCAAATCTAGGAACATGATATTATTTCAGTACCATCACATCTGGTATAACTTCACAACAACTTCTCACAAGATCTAAGGTTTCCTGCTCAAATTATATCTCAGGTTTTGTTTATAGCCTGTTTGACAGTAGGTCATGATGCCACTGGTATAGCTTGTGAACTAAATTGCATTACCAACTTGAAGTGTTAACTCTAATTACATATACTGTTGACAGTGCTAACTTCAAGTGGGTATTCAAACTACTATGAAACTATTAAGAATAGATAATTACAGTGTAAATTTGTAATTAGTCCTGCACTGAGGAGACTAATCCGTAACTATTTATATATATAGATATAGATATATATATATATATAGATATAGATATATATATATATAGATATAGATATATATATATACTAGGGAGGGTCTTGACAAGAAAAGAATAGAAAAAAAAATGATGAAATCCCCCTTCCTTTCCCCTCCTCTTATAGAGAGGCATACACCTCTTATGTTCTGAAAAACACCTCATGCCTCCAAGTAGTAGAATGCCTTGCATCACACCTCCATGTTTTATAAAATTGGTTTGGACAAAAGATGGAAAACTGTATATCTAAATGGTTCACTATGTCTAATAATTAAACATGAATGCTGACTTAAGACCATTGAGCTTACCCAAAACAAAAACAACTTTGACCTTCTTCTCATCTAACAAGTTTCCATTAGCTTCCTGCATCCAAAAGTACCTTTATCAAATGGCAGGATCAAGATGCAGTCCTTTGGAGTGGAATATATCAGATACTCAAAGTGAATTTTATAATTGGACATGCATGCAGAAAGTATGTACAAGTATTTCATTTAAATGGATTTAGTATCTCCTAGACTTATTTTGGATATTACTTGGCAGCCTTCAGCCACAACACATCGGCTTATTCATCAAGGAAGCATTTGGTCCAAGGAGCTCTAACCGAGAGTTCATTGATTATTGAAAAACTATATCCTTAAGTACAAAGTATAGAATACAGAACAGAGAGTAAGAGAATTAAGCTGCTACTATCTTCTCCAGCACTGGTGCTACGGCATGGACCAGGACTAGATTGGCAGTCATTCTTAAACTATTACAATTTCTCACAGGAAATGTTTCATAAGGAAAGACACATCATTCTCAGAATGGAAACACCGTTCTGAGAATGTTTCATAAGGCAGTTCTTGTCAATACTGATTAGTCATGCATTAAACCACAAGAAAAGATGTGGATTCATTGCATTAAATTATTAAGATGGAAGAGCTACTATTTACCAGTCAAAAAGAGTTTATGAAAGTGTGTGATGTTAAAGAAATCCTTAGTTTGATTTCTGGTTAGAAAAAGATGAGTAAGCTTTTAATATAAAACGATACCTTGTCGACAGCAACCTCAGTTCCCATGAGTACCAACTATATATTGAATGTAAAACCTGCATATCATAGAAGAGATAGTTAACATTTATGGGATAATCCTAAAGATAATAATTCCCACAGGATATGTTCTCTAGTGCAGATTCTTGTAACGAATTTGTAAGAAGATTAGTACAACCATCTCACAGCCAAAGTGTACCTCATGCATATATAAAGCATGTTTTCTTCAGTGTTGCATGTACTCTCCCAAATGGATGATTTGTTGTGTCAGTCACGTGTCTGAGTTTAACACTCCATTGATTCTTGAGGGTGGCTCTACATAAAATTTCCTTTTAATCTCCTAAATTATATGACAACAGCTAATCTACAAGATGAATCCAGTTTTTTTGGTATCAAACATTACTTGGTAACAAAGGTGATATTTTTTTTTTGTAGGTATATAATGTTAGAATTCAAAAAATATAAATTGTCTTGATGCAAGTCCATGTCTTCTCATCTTGCCGAGCCAAACTCTTGAACACACATCAGATTCCAACTCTAGTGTCCATGTTGATGTCCATGCAATATTCTCCCCTTCCCTAGGTCTCCAGTGATCTATCTGACCATAGTTTTCAAGGTGCCAAGGTAAAGATAGGTGATAGGGGGCCACCTTGTCACCTAGTCGATGGAATTATTTTACATAGAAACCATGCATCCTAGGGTAATTCCCTAGGTTCCATAGCAACCAGCAACCATCTTCTATTGATAATAATCTATAAACTTCGTAAAAAAATATAAGTTCTATATTAAAACATATAAAACCAACATATTTGTGAGAAGAAAAAGGGAAAAGAAAAAGAAGAAAAATTGTTGAATGAACAGAATTTTAAGCTCTTCTTTGCTTATTGATTCAGGTTTTGAAGTCTTTGAAGGTTCAAGACAGCATAAACCAACATGTGTTGATTGAACCCTAACAAATAAGAAAATAATAAAAGGAAACTAGAATATAAACCCACAAAATGAATATTTTAGTTTAATAATATCTATTTTATTATTATAATATCAAAAACAAAGAATATAAAAGTTTTTCACTATGACATGTACATAATAGGTAAGCTATGCGTATATAAAGCATGTTTCCTTTCCTCTACCCGACTTTTCTCTTCTTAGGTCTCCGGTTTTTTATTTATTTCTTTATTTGTAGCTCGGTATTTCTTCAATTTGAAGGTCATCCTATTTCCTTTGGTTCAATATATTAAAGTATAAGTTGCTCTAAATATGGAGGTCAACTAACAGCTAGAATTTACAAAACCAAAAAAATAATCCACCGCGGTCACTTCTATGCGTTGACACGGTACCATGATCAAACGGAGCCCATGACACTGGTAATCAGATCCTTAATTTACCAACTGAGTTACAGGATTACATTTGGCCAATCTACCTAGACACAGGATTAGATTGGGAACTCAGCTAAATGTTTTTCTTGTATATCTTTAATTGTTTATAGATTACATTTGTAACTTTTGAATTTTTTTGAGGCTTACGGCCTACATCTCGCCTTTCCAGGACCAACGGCCTGGTCAGCTGGCCTCCACCTTAAGCCTTTTAGAACACCTTGATACAGAAGAGAAATAAATAGGTCTCAAATATATCCAATGAAACAAAAGAACTACTCGATCTGAAGTATTAATCCTTCAATCAAACCAGATCTAACGAGATCAATCAAAAAACCGATCAACAAGGAGAAACATTCATATCCATTGCAAAGATCCACGTACAACCAGCAGAAATATAAAAATGCAAACTTGAATTGGAATTCAAAACACTCCAGATCAGCTCCAAGACGAAATTTAACAGATAAAGGTTCTAACACAAAGAAAAAGAGTAACATCAAATCGAACGCAATGGAGATCGAGCTGAGCAGCACACCTGATGTAAAGACTGTGAGAGACGAAGCTTTAATAGCAACTCGAATAGAGAAATACGAGTGAAGGTCTCGGGTTTGGCAGTTGCAGAGAAAACGGGAGGGAATAGAAGAAAAGGGAGTTCAGGTACCAGAACTTCAGCCCCGCACAAATCGAATCCGAAACGCGTCTTGTAAACGGTAGAAAAGGTGAAAATGGAGGCCCGCCATTAAGCGCGTCGAAGGCGAGTGACGCGAGTTCGAATCCTCTATGGTTCAAGTAGTAGTATTTGGCCAATCACGGAACACCACGTCAGCCCCCACAGCAGCTGAGCAGGGGTGGGTATTTATTTGGTACAAGCACATTATTTGCATATGGACACGTGGCCAACATGCAGAAACTTTATACTTCTGCACAACCAATTTGCATGGTTCTTGATCCGCTCGATAATGGTCCGGGTTCCATGGGTTTGGGTTGGACCTTTCGTCCAAATATAGAGTGGTCCTAACTCCTACGGTCCTACCTACAACCAAACTCCGAATTAAGGTCTATGGTGATTCTAACCAGCGGTCTTGCCGTTAATGCCCTCGTTCTTCTGGAACTTCAATCTCATACCTTGCTCATTGTTCAAACTATACCACCGTTACTTGCACGTCCGCCGTTTCCGACCTCAGTTTTCATCTCTCCGTTGTAACAGATCCGACGTCGACGATCCTCAACTGCTTTTACAATGGCTTGGCGAAGGGAAACTGCAAAAGGCTCGAGCCTTGCTCGACAGAATGCCTCAAAGAGGCAGCCGTAGTGGGGTCGTTCACTGGACGTCTGTGCTCACAAAGTATGCCAGGGATGGCTTTGTCGACGAAGCTCGAGCTCTTTTCGAGCTCATGCCAGAAAGGAACCTCGTCACATATAATGCAATGCTCTCTGCTTATGTGCAATCGGGAAGGATTGGGGATGCTTCTCGGTTCTTTGATGGGATGCCTGAAAGGAGCGTGGTGTCTTGGACTTCTATGCTATGTGGGTTCACAAATGCTGGGAGAATTAGAGAAGCGAAAAGATTTTTTGACGCGATGCCGGAAAAGAATGTTATCTCATGGAATTCGATGATGGATGGTTTGATTAGAAATGGTGACTTGGTTGAAGCTCAACGGTTGTTTGATATAATGCCGGAGAGGAATCAGGTTTCTTGGAATACGATGATTAAAGGCTATAGTGAAAATTGTAGAATGGAAGAAGCGAGAATTTTATTTGAAAAATTGCTGGAACCCAATGTGGTTACTTGGACTAGCTTGATTGCTGGTTATTGTCGCACTGGTGATGTGGATGAAGGATATTGCATGTTTCAGAGAATGCCCGAGAGGAATATTGTCTCTTGGACGGCCATGATTGGTGGGTTTGCATGGAATGGTTTCTATAAGGAGGCATTATTGCTTTTCCTTGAGATGAGAAGTACCACCGACATCAAACCAAATGAAGAGACATTCATTTCACTAGTCTATGCAAGTGCTGGTATAGGTTTTCCTCCTCTTGGAAAACAGTTACATGCACAATTGATAGTTAACGGGTTAGACTGGGATGACTATGATGGAAGGTTATCAAAGAGTCAAGTTCATATGTACTCTGAATTTGGCCTTATGGATCATGCGGAATATATTTTCACCAAGAACTCAAATGACTGTTTTGTTCAGTCTTGTAATTCTATGATTAATGGGTACATTCGTATTGAGCAGTTGGAGAAAGCCCAACATTTGTTTAACACAATACCTATCAGAGATGGGATATCATGGACTTCAATAATCACTGGATACTTCAATGTAGGTCGTGTTACAGAGGCTTGTTGTCTTTTCAATGAAATGCCTGAGAGAGATGCCGTTGCATGGACAGTTATGATATCAGGGCATGTTCAAAATGAGCGCTTTGCAGAGGCTATCCACATCTTTTCAGAAATGCGTTCTGAGGGGGTTACACCTCTAGATTCCACATATTCCACCCTTCTTGGAGCTGCAGGTGCAATGGCTTATCTTGATCAGGGGAAGCAGTTTCATTGCATATTGATGAAAACACGATCTATACTTGACATAATTCTTGAGAATGCTCTGGTTTCCATGTATGCAAAATGTGGGGACATAAGTACTGCTCAGTATATATTCTCTGGCATGACTTACCGAGATACCATTTCTTGGAATTCCATGATTGTTGGGTTTTCACATCATGGGCTAGCTAACAAGGCTCTAAAACTTTTTGAAGCAATGCAAGACTCAGAGACCAATCCAAATTCTGTTACATTCTTGGGTGTTCTATCAGCATGCAGCCATGCTGGCATGGTTGACCGAGGATGGGATCTGTTCAATTCTATGTTTACAGAGCATGCAATTCAGCCAGGGGTAGAACATTATGTATGCATGATTGATCTATTGGGTCGAGCGGGTAAAATTCAGGAAGCAGAAGAATTTGTTTTGAAGCTTCCTTTCAAGCCTGGTATTGCCATTTGGGGTGCATTGCTTGGTGCTTGTGGGCTTGGCAGGAAGAATATAGAAATTGCAAGACATGCAGCTCAGCGGCTCCTTGAGATTGATCCATTGAATGCCCCAGCCCATGTCTTGCTCTGCAACATATATGCAGCAACTGGTCGCCGTGATGAAGAGGGAATGCTTAGAAAGGAAATGGGATTGAAGAGGGTGAAGAAGGTTCCTGGGTGCAGCTGGATTCTGTTGAAGGGGAAAGTTCATCTTTTCTTGTCTGGAGACACATCACATTCACAAGCTGGTGAAATAGTTTCACTCTTGTCTCATCTGGCAGTTGGAGAATCAAGTTCTATGACTAATTCTCCGATGTTTAGCCAGGAAACCTCATGAATGCAAATTATCCATTGTTCAAGGATTAAGAGCAGAATCTTATTAAAAATTTGGGAAAATTCCCTTAGTACCCAAACTTTCAAATCGTGCCAATCCAGTACCTGCCACTAATCAGCCCATTAACCAACCGTTAAGTGACATTTGAAAAGACATAAATGCCCTTCAAGCTTCATCTAATTCTCTTTATCAACCATCCAAATGTTGACAAAAAATGAACAGTTCCAAATACTTGCCTCTTCTATTTAAGAAAATTGGGGTCAAGTCTCAGTGGGCATTCTAGTGACCCCTACTTTCTTGAAAAGAAGAGGCAATGATTTGGAACTGTTCATTTTTTGTCAACATTTGGATGGTTGATAAAGAGAATAAGATGAAACTTGAAGGGCATTTATGTTTTTTCAAATGTCACTTAATTGTTAGTTAATAGGCTAATTACTGGCAGGTACTGGATTGGTACGGTTTGAAAGTTTGGGTACTAAATTGTCGTGTTGTAAGTTCGGAGACCAAAGTGGCACTAGGCCCAAAGTAGAGGGTACTAATCGGGAATTTTTCCTAAAAGTTGTTTATTGCTTCAATCCAGAGATGAATTTATCCACTGGACCATTTGCACCCCTACTTGTTTGCACTCTTATACATCTGATAGTGTAAATGAATTTATCTGCAAACAGAGCCTTGGGATCAAATAGAAATCCAAATGACATTACCATAAAAAACGGCATTTCAGATGGCTGGTTGATGGCCAAGGAGCAACAAAATTACATAACTAAGACAATGGACCTTTGAGATTCCTGCGTAAAGCATGCAAAGACCTCTAGCCATTTCCTTTGTGGGAAAGAATCCAAAATTGAGATGCAACCAAGTTACCTGTAAATGTATGGAGTGGTGAGTAGCACAGCCACTTCAATTTGGGTTGCTGACCCAAATTGGGTAGTCGATTGTGTGAATAGCATATGGTAAGACAACTATGGGATGCCTATGCAAGTGTGGCAGGGGAGGGGTGTCTTCTAACTATCTACATCATATGCAATTCCCAAACCAGTTGCGTGATTTCCATGCTGGACTGCTGGGATACAATGTGTTCTTTGACGATAGGGCAGTAAGAGCTGAAGGTGACGTTGCGCCTGAGGTCAAGCTTGAACTATTCAGCTTGAGCCCAACCCACACTAAAATTTGATACACTCAGGCTGGGTTTGGGCTCGGGTTAAAAATTGATATACATATGTGTATATGTATGCATATATGTAAAATTGCAGGTTGGATAAGTCCGAATTTGGATTGGAACCACTCAAGTTGTACCCCTAATTGGTGGTTGAAACAGCAGTAGTGGAAGCTTGGGGTTTACTTGATAGGAATGTAATGTCCATTTGGGGAGATTGTCAAGTGGTTATTGACTTTAATAAGCCAGAAGGAGCGGTTTGTTCCTTTACATTCGAAGAATTCGCATCGGCTATCCACAGAGCGCACCTCACATGCCCCATTCCCAACCCTGCATTGGGAGCATCTCCCCATAACAAATACAGGAAATATCCGCTATTTGCAGTGTCCTAGGCGGTTGAAGGTTCTAGTTCATTTGATGGCCAAACAGGCTATAATATAATGCATGGTGAATTTTCTATTTGGAAGAACTAGTATATCTCGTATTATTATTAATGAAATTTCTCAACAGAAAAGTTCACTGTAAATGAAAAGCAATGAAATAATGATCGTCGTGACTCTATTCTCAGGTTGGATTATAATAAAATTAATTGTTCAGTTTTTGAATCCACCGATATATTATTATTATTATAACCCATCAAAGACTATCTCCCCTTTGAATCAGACAATCAACAAAATTTCAAGTTATCAATGATTCATAACTCACAAATGTATCCCAATAGTTCATGCTTCAAATAAAGTATTAAAAGCTGCTTATAAATTATAATAATTATGAATTCAATTATGATACCGAAAGAAATATAACTAATCAGGTGGTATTTATCAAAATTCAAAGGGAGGTATTAATTGATCAAAGCCGTTCCGGTATCGTGTCTTTTTAGCAGCATATTATTTACTTTTTATTTTGGCTTCATAGGGATACATAACCCGGGGGGGGGGGGGGTAATATTTAATGTTGTTGATGCAATCATTTTTTTTTTTAAACTTTGATTCCTCTCATTAAATTTCCTAACTAGAAGAAGATGAAAATAGTGACCTGCCATAGCAGAGTGGGTAGGTCGAGTAGGAAAGACGAACCATCAGAAAACAATAACAATGTGACAATGCAACTTTTGGACTGTAAGCCTGTAATTGAAACGAATTCTTCATTTCCAACTAATTGACCCATAAAAAGAATAAAAAGGTAACAAAATAAGAAGGGAAAATTTATGATGTGGAAAAGATATGGTATGGAAAGAGTTTTGACTAATCAAAACCCACTCATGAATTTTAATAAATAACACTTGTTTCGTTACTAAGTTTATGATTCCAATTGATTGGTCAGATGTTTCCTCTACGTTTTTCTACTAAGGAGGGGAAGGGAAGGATGACGAATAACCACAAAAGTGGCGGGAAACGAGCGTATAACTATTTTAATAAACATCTCAGCAGCAGGAGGGATTGAATAAACAGGAATTAGAAGTCACGGTGTCAACGACATCCCCTCTCAGCAAAAGATTTCTCTTCAGCCTACATTGACGAGAAGATCTGAGATGGATAGACACGGAGGGAGAGGGGGGAAAGGAGAGAGAAATGTTTGCCTCAATAGGAGAGTTTTTTGTTTTTTTTTTTCCTTGACCAGGTGACATTTTGTTTGGGAATATGTTTACTTTTCTTTTTTTTTTCTGTTGGGAGGAAAAATGTTTGCTGCACCTTAGGGTCAGAACAAATATGTAGAATGCAAAATCTTGTATTTTATATTATTTTATATGTATTTGCAATGTACATATTTGCATTTGTACTCCTTTCAAACCGAGCAATAGTGCTTATGCCCCCCAACAAGAAAAAAAAAACATAATTAATCAAAGGGAAAATTACAAAACTCTCCCCCAGATTTATTGGGGGTGCTCACTAAGCAAATCGTGGGCATATTTTTAAAACTGAACCGATCCCTTCCATTTTTACATTGTCCCGAACCAAACCATAACTGTTTGATTGGTTTGGTTTTTTGATTATTTTTGACTTTGGTTCAGTTCTAAGAATTTTATGATTCTAACAATCATTTTTTAGTTCGAGTGTATGAAAAGGATTTGACTATGATATCCGAAAGATATGATATCTGAAATTTTTTTGACCAATTAACTGGTATCATAGACGTGGAAGCCAATCAAGTGTTATTTATCAAAATTCATGGGTGGTTTTGATCGGTCAAAACTCTTTTGATACCATGTCTTTCCCGCATCATAGATTTTCCCATTGAAAAATGTTCAGAATTAGTTATGCTCTTTTGCTTAAAACTCATTATAGTAATTTATACTTTAGAGATAAAAAAGAGTAGTTTCGAAAAAAAATCATTTTTCGCCTAAAATTCATTCTTTAAATATTATTTGGAGCAAAATTTTAACCAAACATAGCCTACACGTCTGGGCCTTGATCTAGATTTTTTGTCCTCCAAACCTCAAAAGTTTTCTCTCAGGCTTGGAGTATTGCCATCAGATTGTGTTTTGCACATTTCTGACATGCAATGCTCTTTTCTTTGTTTTTTCACTTAATCTTTTCTGGTTCATGTGTTAGGGTTAGGTAAGATAGGGGATCTAATGGTGAAACCTAAAGACCCCTTAAATCACTATAAACAGTTGTTTCGATGGGTCTAGAAACTGGTTAATATCTTATAATACACATTGATACGTTGTGATATTTGAACCCTGCATGGATGGAAGCCATACATGGGACCATAGTTTTCAAGGCACCAAGGCGAGGCTAGGCAACAGGGGCACCTAGTTGCCTAGGCGTCATCTAGGAGATGGATTTTTTAAATAAAAACTACATATCCTAGGGTAGTTCCCTAGGTTCCATGACCATCTTTCTTTAATAAATATCCATAATTTTTATAAGAAAAGTATAAACTTCATGTTTAAGTCTAGAAAATCAATATATTTATGAGAAGAAAATGAAGAAAAGAAAATTAAAAAAATATAGGGGCTGAACCCTTATTGTTATAGGAAAAGAAGAAAGGTGGAAGAAGAAGAAAAAGAAATGTGTTGATTAGACAAAATTTTAAGTTCTTCCCTAACCTTATTTATTGGTTTAGATTTTGATGTCTTTGAGGATTAAATACAACAGTTAGCAATGTTTATGTTGATTAAACCCTAACAAATAAAAGATAATAAAAAAGAAATTAGTTTATAAACACAAAATGAGTATTTTGTTTAATAATGTCTATTTTATAATTATAATCTCAAAAGAATAGCAATATAAAAGTATTTTATTATATAATATACAAAACTGCTTGGCGATTAGGCGAGGCAAGCCTCCAAGGGCACCTTGTTGCCTAGGCATCGCCTTGACAACTATGCATGGGACTTCTTTTACTTTAAAACAACAAAAACTTTGAGTCGTCTTATCCAAAAAAAACAAAAAAAAAAAAAAACAAAATCTTCACATCTGTTTGGAAGAAGTAAAAATGCAAATATGTAGAGTGCAAAACCTTGTACTTTGTATGCATTTGCATTGTACATATTTGCATTTGTACTCTTTACAAACAGAGCCTAGAAAAGAGTACAAATACAAGCATGTAGAGTGCAAAATCTTTTATTTTGTATTATTTTGTATGTATTTGTACTCTTTGCAAATTGAGCTTAAGGCTGTGTTTGGTTGCAATGCTACAAAACTGTGACGGTGCAAATGATTTGAGTGTAAATTCTAACCTATTTTTGTTTCAAATTTTAGTTTATTTTGTTTGATTACAGTACAAATGAAGTAAATTAAGGCATGGAGCAGAATAAAGTAAAACCCAAAATAAAAATGAGAATTTGCATTTTTTTCATTTGCACTCCCATGCATTTGTACTAGTGCAAAACCAACCACATGCTTAGTTTGGAAAGAGTACAAATACAAATATGTACAATGCAAATACATACAAAATATAAGGTTTTACACTACATATTTGTATTTGTACACCTTCCAAACTGAACCTAAGGCTGTGTTTGGTTGAAAAACAAATAAATTTGCACCGATGCAAAACCATGGCAGTGGAAATGATTTGAGTGTAAATTCTGACCTATTTTTATTTCAGATTTAACTAATTTTGTTTGATACAGTACAAATAAAGTAAATTAAGAGATGAAGCAGAATAAAGTAAAATCCAAAACAAAATTAAACAAGAATTTTCATATTTTTTTCTATTTGCAATCCCATGCATTTATACTAGTGCAAATAAAATTGCACTGCAACCAAACACAGCCTAAGGAAAAAGAAATTATTCAAAACCTCATTTATTAACATCATCTAGTACTTCCCCCAAAGCTTTAGGTACCCCTTCGGAAGGTTTAATGAATGACATTCCTCTTTTCTATTAAGTTACCCTGTTCATAACATAGTGACCTAACTTGAGAAATAATTTCTTGACTATTGAATGACCATGTGCACTGTACGAGATATGAGGACTACAACCCGGGCTCTGTACGTGGTCTCTTGGGATTCTAAGATAATGGAAGTATGGCATGCATGGGCAAAGAGAGAAGGCCCTTGAGCTATTCTTAGAGATCGAGAAAGAAGAATCTGCATCCACCCATGCTGAGCATTGCAGTTGCATGGTTAATCTTCTTGATCGAGCTGGGCTACTGAAAGGCTACGAGGAACTCAAAGAAATACCAATGGAGATAGTGCCAGCCTTGTGAGGAGCTCTTCTAAAGTTCTATCGATATGTAACCTTGGTGAGCGACTCAGAGTCAGAGCACTAACACACACCAATACTTTAAACCTTGTGAACATAAAACATCCAAAACATGAATTAGAACTTCATAGATGACCAACCTTGATCATTAAGTGTTTCATTGATTGACAATGCAGAGTTGGTATGAGCTGCATGCATCTTGGTACACCATTGCTTTTAGTGACATTTTTTTTGCATTAAAATGTTTTTTATCCTTTAAGAGAAAAGATACTGGATGGAAGGATGCTCTATAAATTTTGAACCTGTCCAGAATAAACTGTTCTCATAAAAATTACAATCATTCTATTACCATCTTGTAGGGTAAACAAGAACTAGACTTCTCTCAGTCTCTTCAATACAAATAGAACTAAAGGAGAATGGTAAGCATTTTGTGTAGGGTTCACTAGCTGTCGGGCCCAATTGGTAAGTTTCTCATTTTCTTCTTTCTTTTCTTTCCTTCTTTTGGGCGTGGGTGGGGGGTGGGGGTTCAAACCTCATACCTGGGATTGAAACCTATTCTGGAAGAACAAGAGATACTTGGTAAGCAGAGCCCTGGAAGTACATGTAGGAGAAGATCCTGACTTAGAAAAGAGTGTAAGCAGGTTGCAATTACCAAAGACATTTACAGTATTTCTTTTTAATGGTCATGTCTGTACTCCCAAAAATCAATGCAGGAGGAGATGGAATACTAGACCCAATATATGCCCCCCCCCTCCCCCCCATACTGTAACCAAACAAGAAATTTGCAAGTTCAGTAACAAAAAGACTTTACCTTGCCAACAAATCAGTCAAGGTGTCAGCAAGGATGAGTACAGAATGGGTCTGGGCCAGCTGATCAGCATGGAAATGAGCACCATTATCCTCAGAAGCCCTCAAATCAAATAACTGCCACAAACTTCAAGTTGAAGTGATCATTTGATCCTAACAGGGCGATATTTGGGGAAATAGAGAAGGGCCACTTAAGTACCTCTAGCCTTCTAGGCTGCTCTTTTTGCTTTTGATTCTTGCCATCTGAGAAACCAGAAGGTCATGCACTCTGGCCTTTAGCTGCACAATGGAAAGATTGAAAAATGAATACATTTAGCTTCTAGAAATGAATAAGATTCAATAGTCAACTAGTTGTATGTAAATGCAGTAGACATGGCATACACGGGTAGTTGGGAAGTAGGAACCACCAGCGGATGGTTTCCCAACAAGATATTGCACACCAGAATTCATCTGATTGGAAAATTTGCTATTTTCTTTTGTTTTTATAGAAACAGGGTCTCACTTCTCAGGTGGTGGAAGAAATAGTTAGCTCCAACTTTTACCCTTGTAAATGCACTTAAGGCTCAGTTCGGAAGGAATACAAATACAAATATGTACAGTACAAATACATACAAAATAACACAAAATACAAGGTTTTGTGCTCTACATTTTTGTATTTGTACTCCTTCCAAATGGAGCCTAAGGCTCAGTTTGGAAAGAGTACAGATACAAATATGTACAGTGCAAATACATATAAAATAATATAAAATACAAGGTTTTGCACTCTACATATTTGTACTTGTACTCCTTCCAAACTGAACCCAAGTATCATAGGGTAGTTAGTTTGAATTTTGAAGTGTGCCATTTGTATGGGCTTTTGGTAAATCAAAGGTATAAAAATGTATTTTTCAAATATAAACACATTAGGAGATGTTGACCAAGAAGATGGAATATAAAGGTAAAAAGAAGGGTCAGGATAAGTAACCTCATTGAGCCCTGTTTCACTCTTTACTGATACATGAAGAGCTCCATCAGGTCCCAATCTCTTGTACCTTTCCACCTCTATATGATCAATATTACCGTCCTCTTTGACAAAAATGACAGGTGAATCTTGCAACAGATCGCACTTGGATACTATGTCAAGCCAAAGGCAATCATTGAACCTTTCCCGCATCTCTTTGTATGTGATAAACTGCACAATCATTTGAAAAATCTATATAAGCATCCGTCTAGTGGAATTTGATGAAGAATGAAAATGGTTCAAATCTGAGAGCAACCATTTTGTGCAGAGAAATGACAGAAGTTAGATCTGTGTCCAGTCTACTCCTCCCAAGACCCCAGATAGCTGGGAGCCTGGGACCCTATATGACTTTGTTAGTAATTTCCATTTTCAAAGATAAGCAAAGGCAATATGAAGTTGCTTAACCATTTAATATCCTGGATGCCCTACCACATTTAGCCACCAGTTGCTACTTAAAAATACAAAACAACCAAAATACTCCTTTTATATATAAATACAAAAATACATATAAATTTAGGCCCTGTTTGGATAGAGGGTCTCAGATAATCTCAATTTTGACTCTCTAACTCCTGCATCAATATGTATCCCAAGTTCCCAACTATCCAGGTTTATGTCTTAGTTACAACAAAATACATGGTAATTTAGGACAATAGATCATTTCATATTGAACATCATTTTCTGAATAAATCATTTGTCTTTCCAGCAGAATGAAGTGACAAACTTATTGCCCTCCCCTAAGAATGCAAYAAAGATGATGATTTTGAGCTGATTTATAATTCATATTGATATGATCTGAAGGTTACATCCATATCCAGCTTACCCCTCTCAAGTCTGAAGACCCCGGATAACCTGGAACAGCATTGGGCAAATGGCTTCTTATAATTTGACTTTAATTACTTAAGACTAGATGAATACTGAAAATGTTTTGCTTAGAACACAAGAATATAGATCCAACCATCAATGTCCGTAAAATGTGCATTAGATAGTTGTTTGACATAATATTTGTCAACAGATAATGCCTTCGTTTTTGCTATTTACTGAAATTAAGTTTCCATCTTTTTCACAACGATCACATTTTTTGTCCTTAGTTTTTATGTTATGACATCATAATTATGTTCACTGGAATTTGCAATGTTTTTCCATCTTTCTTTTTTTCTATAAAGTATATCTGCATTCCCAACCTAATAAAAGAATTTCCACTACTTTTTGTCAATATATTCCCAAAATATGAACAAATAGTGAAACACATCATACCTGATCAGAAGGCAAGGTTCCACATTCTCCAGAAAGGTCATGGACATATAAAATTGCAGTTGGTAAATGTGTGAGCACAGCAAGAGTTAACTTCTCCAAATTATTCCTGTCCTCTGTAGGATAAGGAAGCATGGAAAGTTTTGTAAATAGCCATACAGTTGTCTTTACTCTTTTTGTGCAAATTTGAGGGTTTCTCACCCTCTTTTATACTAATCAATACATGCACATTTATTGCCTCTTAAAAAAAAGGAAGCATAACAAGTTAGATGTTCTGCACAGAACATAATGATTGAAGTGGACATTCTGGGAAATCAAAGGCACAGGAACCTGTAGATTTAATACATAGATCATATATGTAGTCTGAACTAGATGGTATAAGACATTTTTAGTATGACAGTTTGATTATACCTACTCTAATAATGAAAATTTTATTAAAAGAAAATTAGAGATAAAAAAAGAAGATGAAGAGGTTTCAACTTAAAGGGGGAAAAAACATCAAATACAATTAAAAAACTACATAATAGCCAACTAAAGATCATCTTCAAACTTGATGTGAACTGAACAATAAACACTTCATCATCAAGAACAAATATTAGCAACAAATCTTCCACTATTTTTTTGCTTTTTTTCCGAATTATCCTACTGTTCCTCCCCCTCCATATACCCCAACAGGTAGCAAGAATCATACTCCAAATAATCATAGCTTTCTTACCAGCAGCATTGTTAGGCCAAGAGGAGAAAAACTCATAAAGAAATGCTGGCCTGAATTTTGGACTTGTAAATAATTAGAAGCAAAACTAAATAAAATTTGACACCTTATATTGAACGAATAAGTGAGCTACATACTCCTCAAATCTCTTGCACAAAAAGGAAAGGCTAGGCAGGTGATAACCTTTGGGTTTTAAGTTGTTGACTGTCAGAAGTCTCCTAAATATTGGGCACCAAGCAACCCGATCATCCTTCCTTTCAAAGTATGGCTAACTGAGATACCTTGGGTTTCAATCAATCCATACAATTTTGGGCATATTTCACTTAGCTTACCAATTCACACCATTCATCTTCCCAAAACCTTTATACCTATTTTATATAAAGCTTAACAAGAAAACGAAACAGAAAATTTAGTCAAGGGGTATCAATCACTATTTACATGCCCAAGGGCTTGCACTGTAATGGTATTTATAAAAAATCCACCAGGCCTATTATATGAATCTCCTAACATACATGTCTTCTTAGTGTTCATTGTTTTGAGACATTTTCTTCCACAAAATACACAGGAAGCCATGAATTAGTTGAATCATTAAAGGTCTTGATTAGGAGATTTCACAAGCCAATTGATATCCTTACTGGACAATTAACACCATTCAACCATGGGACCCTTTCAAACAGCTAAAAAATTTTACTGTGGCCAGAGAAAAAATGCCAGGATATTAGGTTACCAAATTAAATGGGATACATTTTATCATCATAGTTGGGACCATCAGATGGTAGGTCTCATCCCCTTGCATCCATGTTTAATGATAGTGCCTTTGCAAACTGTCCTTTCACTGTACTCAACATTTTGCTTCATCTATAGCAAGGTTTAATACAAACTGTTTTGAGCTATAATCAGATTGAATTTGGTTCAGACTCAACAACATCCAAACCCAATCCAACTAATGAAATCTTAAATCCAAATTCAAATCTGATAAGATCTGGGAATCTCGGACCAGATTCAAATCCTATTGGAGTTGGATCGGATTCAGATTTAATCTGGTTCTGCTTCATATTTTTAAAAATAAAGAAATAAATTTAAAAATAAAAATAATAATTATTTTTAACTTATATATAATAAAATAATATAAATATGAAATATTGAATTTATATATTAAACCAATATACATATATATTATAAATTAATCAGACTTGTATTTTAATCAGATTGGATGGGCTTAAATCTGCACCTGATCTGATTATGTAGACAGATAATCCGAATCCAGGATAATCAGACTGGATGTCAGATTGGGTATTATACTTTCGGAGCCCATTGACAGCCCTAAAACTGTTGAACCTAGAAGGCTGGAAATGCTTTTGAACTTCTAGACATTGAGAAAGCCAACTTCCCACAAAAAATGAACTCTTATAATTTAATAAAAATCACATAAAATACATATGGCATACCATCATTTCTCTTCAAAAGACCAGGAGTGTCTGTAACCTGCAGTCAAGTTACCAAGATTTAATATAATTTTTATAGAAAGAAAGAAAGAATTGCATCGTGTAATAAACAAGAACTTTTAACCTGGAAATGCTGGTAGTTTATAGCGATATGGCCCATCAAAATTCCTCTGGTTGTGAAAGGATAGTTGCAAACCTGAGCAAATAAGATCAAACTTTATGTGTTGAGAAATATGCAACAATAAAGATTTCATGTATTAATTACCTCAATCTATGAAAAAAAATAAAGATCATTGTCCAATGTTGGTCTCGGCTATCTGGGGTCTTGGGAGGGTTGGACTGGATATGGATATGGACCTAACCTTGTGGCATTTTCTTGCACAAAGTGACCAATGTCAGATTCAAACCGACATCCTCACACTTGTCAGCCCGAGATATTTTTTTAAGATAAATAAAAAATAAACTTTATAGATGAAGGGAAAAGAGAATACAACAGGGTGATAAGGAATCACCCAGCAAAAACAGACCCAAATATGACAGACCCACCCTAACAAAACTGACCTTTAAACAGAAAAGCAGCCCTACAAACAACACAAAACACTTTAAAAACAAAACCAGACAACTACAAAAAAATATATATATATCGCAGAGAGTCTTTCCACCAATCACTAGAAGAAACAAAAGCAACCAAAAAACTGCAGATCCCACATCATCCAACCCTTGCCATAAAACACAAAAAAAACACCCTGAGCCCACCCAACCCTCTGATGAAAAACTTAAGCCCAAGCTTTATCATCCAACCCGCATCACTCTTGTCAGCCCGAGATATTACCATTATATATTAACTACTTCCATCTAAAACCAAATTAATAACTTCTTTTTCTTTTTTCTCTTTTTTCCTTTCATCTTTTATTGAGCTCAAAACACAAATTCCAGAGGATAGTTGTCAGGATAATTTTCATAAAGTTGATACCTTATATACTGTTTGCACTACTTAATTTCTACAATTTGACCGAGGTATCATTGTTTGCCCTTGGAACATGGCTTGTAGTCTGATCTAATATAAGTTGAACCATTTAATTGTGTATCTTTTTCAAGGAAAAGGACATTTCTCTTCTCCTCTTTTGGATGCTAGGAGTTTCTCCTGTGGCCAAAGCTTCTTCTCTCATGTTTAGGATGCAAACCTTCTTATAGATTTGGCCCTATTAGTGGTGGGAATTGCTCTTTACCCTACTTTTTCCTTATCAATGAGCACAAAAAGAGATGCAATGGACATTTTTAGAGTGATCTGAACCACTTGATCCATGTTTAGTGGATAACCTACCTTTACAAAGGTCATTTTCACCTTTTTTTTTCCATTTTGACCTTTCCAGCAGAAAATTAAACCACTTACCTTGCTGGCGTATGGCTGTAGTTCTGCCATATGGAAATGGCAAAGCATGTAGCTGACTGCCGTACATGTGGCATTTTATCTATTTATTTATTTATTTTCCAGGAGAGGGGTCGGGGATAATGGTCCTGACTAGAGTATACAGTAGGCCAACTACAGGAAGTTAGGAACAATCATTTTCAATTTAAGGCCAAATGCGGGACATAATTGGTCAATAGTAAGGGTTCCACCACATGGACCTATTATGGCCATGAGCTCTGGAACTTCAGGGGCAAACATGTGGCACTGTGAGGCCCAACAGTCTTGATTTGGCCCATCATAGTTTTTCCATCTGGCATAGTGGCCAATGGAACCATCATGTGAGACCAAAGTTTTAATTAGTTGATGCATTCATATCATGTGGATAATGTGCAATTTTCTGCACACAAAAATCAAGATATTAGTTCAATAAAATGAATTTGAAAGAGTATTTTTAATTGTCAAGGAAACGTTCAACCTAAAAAGTTAAGCTGTTAGGTGAGGTCCCTGAATAGGTTTTTATTCTCTAATATGCCCCCATCACGCAAAAGTCCAATGGGCTTGAAGCATGGACAAGCTTAGGCCCACCCATAACTTGTGCTGAAATTTAATTAATTATAATGGGGGCAGTGAGGATCGAACACTAAACCACTTGGTTAAACAGGCTTTGATACCATGTCAAGGAATCATTCAACCTAAAAGCTTAAGCTGTTAGGTGAAGTCCCTGAATAGGTTTTTATTCTCTAACATTAATATTAGTTCCTTTTTTTTCTTTTGCTAACCATGTCTTTCTCAGGATAATGTATAATTTTTTTCCACACAAATACTTAAAAATTTGCTAGTTATAATGCAGTCTAAGTTTTATCTACCCCAAAGCACATACATAGCTTTTGAAGTAACAAAATGGACCATAATTTTTTAGAACTGTAGTCACCTCTGGTTTCCCTGTTGAAAGAATACGGACTAGGGATGACTTTCCCACATTAGGAGCTCCAACTAGACACAATGTCGGTGTTTCCAGGTCAACTACTGGCATTGCACGCAATGTCTGCAACCATACCAAATCAGTCCTTCAGAGAGGGGGAGGGGAGGAACTTGAATCTAACAAATAAAATGCATCTGAAAATAAGATTTTCTTAAGAAAATAGGAGTTAGAAATGAAAACAGGATCATGACATGTTTGTCATTTGTCAGAGCATTGCCTAGGCACTGAGATACTCTGAGATGCTAGGAGAGTGGCACCCAAACAAATAGAAAACAGGTGCTCAGAATAATAACTTCGGCAGTTGCCTAGATGCCAAAGTCAATTAGGTGACCTTGACATGTATCCTTGTCGAAGAGACAGGTGCTCACAACATAAGAGACATATAAACATCACATATAGAAATAGAAGGAATCAGAGTGCATGACATCTTTTGTTTTCCCTTCTTCTCAAAACATCACATATAGAAATAGAAGGAAACAGTACCTTGGCAATGTTTAACAAATCATCCACAGCTTTCCCTTCAAGTTTAAAAACCTCTTCCAGTTTCTTCATACCCTTCAGAGTAAAAGGAGCAAAGTGCTTTAGGAAAGAAAATACTTTACATGGATAGATAAAAGCATGGGTAGTCTACATGCAAACAAATACCAACCTCACTGAGTCTCTCCTCTGCTTCACGCTTTGATAAGGACTGGCAACATTTAATAGGCAACTTGAGTAAAAACTTTTCTTTTTGAATACTATGAGTGATGAAGTAACATCATATACACTTTTCTTCTATTATTATTTCTAATAGAACAGCAAAAGATGGAAACTTACGGCCAAATTGCCAAATTGACATTAAGACCCCCTCAATAGTGGGGAAAAAACATTCAATCATGTAGCAACATTCAAAAGTTGATGGTTCTTTTGATATTTAATCAATATACAAGAAGAAGCATAAATGAATATCCCAAGTGATAAAGCAACTTCTCATAAATATAATTTTGTTTTCCAATACATTTCTATTATTTAGTCCCCAAAAGGTCCCCAAGAGCCTTTTAATAAAATACGAACCCTCATTCAATTTAGAAGGAATGGAGCTCATTATCAAAAATAAATGAAAGAGATCTAATAGTAACACTATGGAAAACAACTCTTGTATGCTTAAATCCTTAATGAGAGATAAAAGCTCAGGACATCCAAGAAGGCACTTTTCTGTTGCACTAAAGAAAACACAAAAATCTTTTCATTATGATGACCAAGATCTCCTTCTCTCTCTATTCACTGCTAGCCCATCTTAAAACTGTGGCGATGTGTGCATACAGCATACATACACATCTATAGATATGTATAAAATAAGCCTGTTTTCACTACTATCAATTGCCTTTTAATATTGAACAGTGTTTTTGTAGTGATATATACTATTACTTAAATACCTATCTTTCACATACATACAAATGTAACCAACATATTTTATGCATGCATGTTGGTACAGGAACTTTGGGCAAGCCCACAAGCTGGTGGCCTGACCCAAGTTGCAGTCCTATTTGAAACTGCGGCCCAACAAAATTATCATCCTCTTTATTTGACTTATGACTTTATAAATTGCACAGATTTTCACCTCAAAAAATACTGTAGCTGCGTTTTTTTCATAGGCACTAATTGAAGGGATGAGAGATCCATCGTATGGACGCCCAAAGATTGCGGAATAAAGGGGCGAATTTCAAAAATTTTCTCT